AATGAACTAGGGAACTCATGAAGTGTGCATATTTATATAATAGTGTTGTATTTTGCATGCACTATTCTTAAAAAGTAGTCAGGGTTTGACACATGGTGCACAAGCCGGAGGCTTTAGGTATAATGTACAGATAGTTTTAGAGAATAGTAGTTGAGTGATGGGGTCAATTGCAAGAAACTATTTTAGAAGAATTATTTTGTTAGTGTTAGCTGCAGAACTGTAGCTCTCTGAAAAAATATATATTGACAGACGGGAGAGCTACAGTGCCACCCATAGAAAAAACTGTATATTTATTGTGCACTTTTTGTGCACTGTTTCTCGATTTATTTCTCAGTGTTTTTAAAACTGTCATCTCAAAATATTACTAAACGTGTGTTTCTAACATATTCTTTCACTGTTTCCACAATAAAACATTCCTTATAATTGTTTTTAACAGCCCTCCTGGCCCTGAAATTGAAATCATTGAAAATTTTGCCTATTTATACTGCCATTTTGGTCTTCACGAGAATTCGGTCCAACGTACTTAGTACAAGTGTAAACTACGAAAGTTATAGAGGAGTAAGGACTTTTTTGAAATGTAGCTTTTTTTTCAATTGAGGTAAGAATTTCGAAGAATTAATTCAGAACCGAGCGCACTTTTTTGTGCGCAATAAATATACAGTTTTTTCAATGGGTGGCACTGTAGCTCTCTGGTCTGTCAACATATATTTTTTCTGAGAGCTACAGTTCTGCAGCTACTTAAGTGTAAAATATTTGAAACTAAGTTTATATATATTATAGTACATTGATATTTATAACGGCATCTGTGTTGTAATCGGTAGCGCGTCGGAATGACAATCTCGGGGTTGTGAGTTCGCTCCCAGGTGTGGGCGCAGTCAGTTTTTCTTCAGAAAATGAAGTCGTGCACTATTTCGGCATAGTATGCTTATGCTATTTAAATCCTTTGAACACTATGCAAGAATAGTAGGGTATGGGTTATGTAGAGACAAACTGACAGGAAGCATAATAATTGACAATATGCATTTATGACAAGAAAATTGAAAATCTTCCTGAAAGAAGTTGAATAAATTTAAGCCACTTAAGTACCAATCTAGTTAAAATTAGATGTTAGATCCGCTCACATAGTCACTACAGTCAGTTTAGCGAGTATGCGTGCGGATCTAACATCTTATTTAAATTACACGTAGATTGCTGAGGTAAAAGTTTAATACATGTACCCAATATCATTCTGCTATATTTGCATCCGCGTGGGTATTAACAGTGAGCATTAACTAACTGTGGCCTGGACCTCTTATTTTATGTGTTATGGGGTGTCCAAAACAAGGTGCATGCTGACGTTTAACAAAGAAGAAACTTGCAATGGCCTAAGGTGACTTGGCTATTATCAGTTGAATACATGTCAATGGTGCATGGTTATTATATGTACCAAAAAATAACAAGTAAAAGATCAGCAGAGTGCTTTTATTAAAGAAGTAACAGAACTAAGGAAAACTTGTTTTCTACTGGATGATATGAAACAATGAGTAGAGTACCACCGCAAATATTTCTGGATCCATGCCCTTTCATCATGTTTATTTTTGAACGGGTTCAATGAACTGTCAAAAATTCTTGATATGTTTAGTAGGTGTAGGTAGAAAGTTTTGAAATTAGTGAAAAGGTTGTTAAATATTTTTAATGCAAACTACCAGTAAATGTGCATAATGAAGATGGTTGAATTTTTTTCAACATTATTTTCTGTTCATTTGTCAGATCGGGTTCGTTATGAGTAAAATAATTTCCAGCTGTCATTGGAACAAAACAAGGCATGATCAGGATCATACAAAGAAAATTAAAAGTAAAAATTAGGTAAATTATTACAGTTTGTGCATCTAAATAAGTTTTAAAACTCTCTTAAGAATCTCAGAGTGACTGATACGACCCAATTTCATGTGATTTTTTAATTGGAAACCTATCAGTTTAGTGCAGCAAACAGGCAAAGATCTAACAACGTGCATGGATCTGATCATGTTGTAAAGCTTGACAAATGGCACTTATGCAATAAATTAACCTAAATGATTAGGAGGAAAATAAACATAAAAAGATTTGTTCTTCCTTAATTGCATTTTTTATTTTTCCCATTCAAAATTTACATACAAGGAATAAAAGAAGGTAATCTACATACAAGGGAAATTGCCTTTTTACTTAAAAAAAAAAAAAAAAAAAAAAAAAAAAACTGAAAGTTATAGAGATAAAACCACTTTTGATTTTTTGATCTTTAATCATTGAAAAAATTAAACATTACCCCAAAATTGGTTAATTTTAAGAAATTAAAAAAAAAAATGGTTTAGGAAACACATAACTTAAATGAAAATAAATAATTAATAGTAGTTAAACTGTTCAATAGTTTCTTTATTTGGTTTAAAACTGTTGTTTCTTTATCCCATGGGAGAATTTTTTTCTATTTTGTAATGAATATGGGATAAATCCCACATTTATAAAGAGATGGGAGATTATCTTCTATATACAAGTATATGGGAGATTTTGTCCCATTATAAAGCATTCATGGGATTTTCAAACTTCTATGGGAGAAAAAATCCCACAGAATACCTTTTTCTCCCACAGAATAATGGTGGGATATTGGTTAGGAGAAAAAATCCCACCATTATCCCATGGGATTTCTTGGTTTCAGGTGTAATATCTTTTTACCTAGAAGATAATCAGGTGTAAATTTTGGTTCATGTGTTAAGTTTTAAAAAATCCCATCAGATGACATAAATGGTTTCCACATATCTTTGGAAAAGTGGTTGGCGAAAGTCCGGACAAATGTCGTGTCCGGAGTTAAATGTCGCACTGTTATAGATAGATCGTACATTAAAGTCCGATTCTCTTCACAAAGTCAAACCTCAAACACAGAACTCTATGTATCACATGATATAAGACAACATACACAGAACTCCGTGTATCACATGATATAGGAAACAGACACAGAACTCCATGTATTCGTGATATAAGACAATATACACAGAACTCCTTGTATTACATGATACAAGAAACAGAACTCCATGTATTTCATGATATAGGAAACCTACGCAGAACTCTATGTATTACAAGATGATTCTTACCGATGCAGCAAAGGAAAAGGGAGATGTGGTAAGATTACTCCTGGCTAACGCAAGAGCTCAATGCACATGTAAATCTGTATACATGCAGTAATTATGGCTTTTGCAATTGGGTAAAACTTGAATCCTAAATTATTTTTATTTTTCGACCACCGAATGCATTTTTGAGACAGAAAATCGTAAACCAAACAAATGAATAAATAAATAAATAAAAACTTTGGCCAAAGTTATTTTATCGACCACTGAATTTGCGAATTGTTGACTTAAAACTCTCGTTATTGTTTCTTCAACTTATTTGCCAATAGCCTGCCTCGCTTGTTCGTACAATGAACATGCTCTTGCCCAATCAACAGAGACATAAACACCATATGGAGTTTATAATCGTAAATTACTACATATACATATATAGGAAATAGACAATAGAAACAACTCATCATGTTTATCATTAAGTTTAATCTTAGTTTGCCACGAGTGTCTTTCTATTGTAAAACAACCAAATGTGAAACAGATGTGTCAGAATCTCTCGAGGTTAATGGAATATACCAAATCAACATGTGAATATCGTAAATTGATAAAACGTTGACATTTTAAAGTAGATGTCAAATTGAAGGACAAAGCAAGATTGATTGATTGATTGTATGTTGTTTAACATTCCATTCGAGAATTTTTCACTTATATAGAGATGTCGTGTTAAGCCACTGAAAGGCTACAAATTTAGACATACTCGGCACACAGGGCCATTGAGCAGTGAAGTTTCTTTATCGTACAAACGCCTACCGTGACATGGTACCTCAGTTTTTAAATTCTCATCCAAAAGACCCGTGACTCACTTCTTGTGCCGGGCGCTTGGCGAAGGAACAGTCACTACCTATGTTTAACATCTTAGGTTTGACGCGGCGCGGCGAACGAATATCGAACCCGCGGTCACGAAGCGAGCGTCTTACAATTAGGCTACTGTGACCGGTGCAAAAGCTAAATGTCGAAGCTTGAACAAATGTAGCCCTTTTATTCGGTCGATATGCTTTTCTGCGAAGTCTATATATCTATGGATCGACCTCATGAATGGGCTATATTTGTATTTTACATATATATATATATATATATATATATATATATATATATATATATATATAAGGAGAAAAAAATTAAAATCACCGAAGAACTAAATACTCTACACGTTGAATTTTATCTATTATTCAGGGTAAAATATATAGATTATTCTTTGTCGTGCAGATTATTTCTATTTACTATGCCCTACCGACTAGAAGGTTTGTTGATTATCATAAAAAAATAAGGAAATGTTATGATTTCAATGCATGTTCTGTGTATACTGGAATCGGAAAATGTGTCGAATCAATAAAGAAGTGACAGTTTACTAATATTGTACAAATACAAATTCCTGCGTCTCTTATCAACTACAACTGGAGTCAAAACAAATGATATCTGCCTAATATGGGTCTCCTATATGACCAGATTAGGTAGATCTATCAAACCCGGCCGAATGGACAGGAACCTGATTTAGACATGTGCACTGTCAAAAATTAAAAGGGTCTACCTGGAAATTGTGCACGTTTCGATAAGATAGACAAAGCAATTTGTTTTTTCTGAGGTGTTAAAAAGTACTCGTCGGTAAGTTTCTTCCCTCTTAAAGACTGTTATGAATTGTAAAATGAATTGATAATAATTTTGCAAATTTATAAAATAATTTTGCAAATTTAATTGATAATTTCATCAGTAAGATAATCTATAAAAATAGACAATCATCTCATTTTTGGCAATGGTTTGAATATTTTTTCCCGCTGTATGTCAAAAATTGATATACTGCTTTTGATATAACTCTATAAATCTTTACAAATTTCCGAAGATAAAGGAAACATTGTAAATTTAATTTTCAAAGGGCTGTTATCATGAGTGCGGATAAGAAAAGGCGGTCGTCAAAAGTGGGCGATTCAAATATGGAGTTGACAGAGGTTCAAAATAACGAAACAAAACAAGAAAATGGAAAGATACCGAAAAAAGAAGAAACAAAAACGCCGACGAAGGAAAAAGTCGACAAGAAGACGGACAAACCTAAAGTAATAACCGTGAAAACTGCTGAGTCTAAGCACCGTCCCAATATTGTGGACAGGGTGGAAGAAATAATGGAGGATATTCACTGCTGTGTCCGGGTTCAGAATAAGATGTGCTTCAAAGTGTTTGTATTCCTTGTGGTCTTAGTTCTGGACAGTGCTGATCTCATCTCTGATTGGCTGCTATTCCGTGATGTGTTCATCACAGAGGAGGGTCTTGTGTATGGACCTCCGGAAGATGCGCTCACGTACGCTTTACTAGCTTTCTCCATTTTGGGAACTCTGACTTTTATTTTCGAGGTGGTAAATCTTTGGTGGGAAATTTTCCGGGATAATCCTTGGGTTGATTCTGACCTAGCCTCAACCATCACAATCTGGGTAGAGGATGTCCCCCAGATTATCATTAACGTTTTGATTGTTTTGTGTCGAGAGGAGGCCATTAGTTACTTCCAGCTCGTCAAGGCATCTGTTTTAATCATCGGAGTTGTTATAAGGATTATCGTGTCTCTGATTCGATATTGTTCGAAAAAGAATCTAGAGGAAGCTAAAAAACAAACAGCAGAATCACGGCGTCACGTGGCGTATAGGGTGTTCATAATGTTTGGGTTAATGTGTATATTAGCTGGGTCGATTGCTGTTTTTATGCTGACACAATTTGAGAGACATCCGGATGGTGCTATAAAATTTAATTTACCAAAAACGGCGTTTGAAGGAAAATTCCACGAAGAAAAATATTTTGATAATGTCAGTATTTACCTAAACCATCCAGTCTTTGACACGAGCACTGGGAGTTCTCAAGTTGATTTTATTCGTTTAATTAGTATCTATGACATCAGAAATAAAGACGATAAGATTTTCAAACTATCGTATAAAGAAAGTTCAAAGGATACATTCATCATATGGGAATCTGATAACAGTGACACTCTTCAGGCAAAAGAATGTTTTAAGATAAACAAAGGCACCAAAGCTGTAACTATAGAGAGCACTTGTTCCCCGTCTTATATTTCTTCTCCATCAGAGTTTACATTTAAGTTCCACTTCATAAAACCTTCCATACCAAAGCTTATATTTGGTGATATAACCTATAACGTCAAAGTTAAAGAAAGCGGGACATGTCATGATCCAACAACAGATATCGTTACCAAACCAAACAAACGTAAAGGAAGCGGAAACACTCGAACTCCTGTGATACATTACTACCGCGCCCATATAAGCTCTGAATCGCATCTCCTGAAATCTAAGCTATACCAGTACCCAACTGACTTAACTGACATAGCAGAAGTCTGGAAAACAGGATTTGCTTCCTGTGAAAGCTCGGGGAGTTTGGCACCACATAGAGACACATCATTGTCCACTAGCTGCTCATAAATTTGAAAAAGGGGGACAACTCCTATGACAAAAATTTGTGTAGTTTTCAGGCATGTGTGGTTCTAAAAAGTTTCAACAGACATTTCTTTTTTGAAAAAATAATCATTATTGATGCAAATATTTATGCATCGTCACAAGCCACGGTATTATATTAAGGTCTGCCTCCGTTTACATAACCTGTCCAAAAAGTCGTAAGAGACGACAGAACTGTTGGTATGTCTAATACATGTATCTGGAATTTCAAATTCTGTACATGTTTAAAACTTTTTGTTTTGCTGCCAGATAACTTATTTACCACATCAATATTACAGCAAGAGTAATGCCATACTTTTTTAACTCAAAAAAAGGTCACAGACATCATTAAGGGGGCCGACTGGGGTTTTCATTGCGCAATACTTCGCTCAGCATAGTAAAATAAAGCGTATTTTCTCTTTGAAAGCAACTATTTTTACATAATTTATAAAAATTAACAAATTTGGGAAATCTCAAGTTAAAAAATCTAATTACGTTTTAAAGTTAACTGATTTCTTAAAAGATTTTTCAAATGATGGGTAGATAGACGTCGTAGAAGTGTGTTTTTGACGTTATGAATAACCGAAGTTCTTTAAGCCGGGTCATTAACTATTCCATAAAATAAAAAGTATAAAATATATGCTCTTGAAATTTTAAACATAGGAAATTGAGAATCTAACAATCATATTTATTATTTTTTATGTAAATCTCTGGTATCTGTCATGTTTTGTTGTACTCCGTAAAAATAGGAAAATATCATGAATTTTGACATTTTGAGACGCCCCCTCTGGAAACCAAACGGTAGAATTTTGTGTTTCTTGCATAAAATGTACAATATAGTATTACCCACCAAATAATATAATCTGAGCAAAAAGTCTATAGTAGCATTTGTATAATTTGCACCGAAGTGCGAAAAAATGGTATTTTTCTATATAATCCTATAGTAAATGTACCTGTATTTTGAGATGGTCCCTAAAACTTAACCAGATTTTCACTAAACTTGGCATGCATACTGAAGTCAATGTAAGGTACATATGGTATAAAATTAAAGAGTTTCTCTACAGTAGTTTTCACACAATAAAACCCCAGTCGGCTCCCTTAAATAAGACACACATGTGAAAATTAAATTCACCAAAAAAAAAAAATTAATAGAGTTAAATTCCTTTTGAAATATGGCATAGCATTTGAATAAAAGAAGCACAAAAAAATATCACAAGATATTTTATCCTAAGCAAAAGTATTAATGATTTTTTTTCTGTAGTATAGCAGACATGTACTTAGTATATCAACAAATGATACCCAAGATTCTACTTAAAGATTGTTCGTTTATCGTGTGACCCCCCCCCCCCCCTTCCCCACCTACATGTACTTAGGTGTGACTTCGCTTCAGATATAGCTAACCCATAGCCCCCCCCCCGATTTTTTCTGACATTATATTCCAGGTCTTAAATCTATCACCCATCAAAATAGCTTATGAATTATTTCGCTTGTAAGGAAATTTGGGACAAAAATTCCTGAATCTGCAAATTTTTGTTATTATTGTTTATTGTTTAATGAACTTTTGAGCTTGAATACTTCGCCTCGGTCAATATTGATATTTTTCTGGTGAATAACAAACCATATTCACCACCGAAAGAGTCCATAATTGTTTTATTATACTAGTATAGTCCGGATTTGAATAAATAAGACATTGAAGGCTGCATGATGATACCACTTTCATTTACGAACTTCTGTCGTGGAAAAATAAAAAAAATGTCCAGATTACAAGTTATAGCTTCCGTGTTTTCCTTTTGCTGTTTGTAACTGTGTAAGGCATCGTAATGTTTAGAAAATAATCCTGCGATAGGTTTGGCTAATGTTTTTCCTGCTCAGATACACAGCTGGCTCCGGCTGCTGCAACCATTGTTTACAACGTTGTTTGAGGTGTTGATTGTGACGTCACAATGCCTCTGCACGCGCACCGACCCTCCGGTGAATACGGCTTCAAAACCAGTGAATATATAGAGGATATTCAATGTTTTGTAGATGAATATGGAATTTATTTCACGAGTGGGACAGGGTTTTTTGATATTTTCACGAGTGCGAAGCACGAGTGAAAATATCAAAAAATCCTGTCTCACGAGTGAAATAAATTCTATATTCATCTACAAAACATTGAATTTTCTGTTTATTACATTTTCTTTGATTTTCCCTTTGCCTCTGTCTTTTCTTAACCCAGTGTCATAGATAGGCTGTGACGTCATAGTTGAGCAGTTGAGACGTCATAGCTTAGCAGTTGTGAGATTGAAAACATTACATAGCATGGATTTTAGCAACATATTTGGGAAGAAAATTGCAGTTTTAGCTCTATCAAGATGTTTAGTTACTATTTCTATCTTATGACAGGTCAGAAATTATTTTTTACTTACTTTGATATCCTTTCACACTGTGAGAGAATATCATTTTGGTATCCTTTCACACTGTGAGAGAATATCACTTTTATTCAATAAATAAATCACAGTATTTCACTGTTGAAAATGTAATAAGTAGTGTTATGAACTGTTTGCGTTTGTATAGATTATATAGGGACTATAAATAGACTGTATAATAATGTTCGTTATTTCCATACATTTCATTTATTGTTACTATCATAGGGGTTATTTAAGCATGCATATCAAAGATAACAAAATAGGCAATGTCATACATAAGCACTTGGCAGTGGGCAGCTGGCAGTAAGCAATTGGCGAGAGCAGTAAGCAGTTGGCTGTAAGAAGGTGGCTGTCGTAAATTGGATCAGCATTATACTTGATATGTTTTCATATGTTTTGATTTGAAGTGGCTCTTTGCTTAAAGATATTGTTTATATGTGTTGATGAGTATTTGTTTCCTTTAAATTGTAAAGTAAAAATATTTGTCGACCTTTTGTGTACATTGTATTTATATTTCTCTGAAAGAGAAAAGCAATTTTTAAATATCAGGTGAGGAACAACGGTTTCTTTAATTCACTTTTTAAACTATAGTATATAGCAGCCCTAGTCTCGGCGATCTTGAATCATGTTCAGTTCCCAGAGAAGCAATCAGATCATTTTCTACAAAGCTGGCTATACACTTTCTATACACTTTTTATATTGACTTTCAATGTTAATTTGTATGTTTTGAACTGGATAAACACATAATTTATATTGCTGAGTTTACATATAAGGGGAGAAGGTGGTAATAAAGTGTTAAAAATTTACTGCTGTATATTCTGTTAAAATTTCAAGGATATGATTAGCTTTATTTGCATTAGACCACACTCACAAAATCAGGGGTCAGGGGTCCACTCGTGGCCTTCCTTGGACCATGACCTCGAGTGGAGTTCGGACCCCCTGACATTAGAGTGGACTTCAGACCCCTGACACAAGAGCAGCTCAGAACCCCAACCGGCTATGAGTGACTGAGGACCCAGAGTGGACTGAGAACACCTGACGTTAGAGTGGACTTAGGACACCTGACGTTAGAGTGGACACAGAACACCCGATGTAACTAAGAGTGGACTTAGGACCCTTGACGTCAGAGTGGAGTTCTAAGAACCCCTGACGTTAGATTGATTCAGAACCCCCTAACGTTAGAGTGAATTCGGAACCCCAGACGTTAGAGTAGACAAGAACCCCTGACGTTTGAGTTGGCTAAGAACACCTGACGTTAGAGTAGAATCAGAACCTCTGACGTAAGAGTGGACTCAGAACCCCTGACATTAGTCTCAGAACCCCTGACGTTAGACTCAGAGCCCGACTCAAAATCCCTGAAGTACGTTAGAGTACGTGAACTCAAAACCCCTGACGTTAGAGCAGACTCAGAACCCCTGACGTTAGGGTGGACTCAGAACTCCTTCAGAGTGAACTCAGAATTCCTTCAGAGTGAACTCAGAATTCCTTCAGAGTGGACTCAGAACCCCCTGACGTTAAGTGAACTTAGGACCTCAGCTGTTCTGAGGATGGCATTAGACGTACGTAATCTCAACATACATCAAACTAATGTGAGACAGCATTGTTACAAATTACATGTATTTTCGTTCCTTAATACATATGTAGATATCTGTGGATATTATAAAAGGACGAGTGATTACATTTAGAATTAAATACATGTAGTTCGAACTGGTTTTAGATAGCTTTCAAATTGCAGTTTCCAAACTGTAAGTTTTCCTGTAAATGTATAATATGGCTCGGCGGCGAAACAAACAAATAACTGATCAATATATATTATTATAACAGTAACTTGATCCGAAGAGCCGTATCACGTCGAGTTGACAGGCGCGGATCATCAGATCAAACGAGACGCGAAGCGTCGAGTTTGACCTGATGATCCGCGCCTGTCAACGAGACGTGATACGGCTCTTCGGATCAAGTTACATGTGCTGTTATAATGATAAATTTATTATATACCCCCTTACAACTAGCAAGATATAGTTTTAAAAAAAAAATTGAGATCAATTATTTAATATTTTTCCATTAATGTTAAACAAAGCATTGTGTCAAGGGACTTTTTGATGCGCAAGAAAAATAACGTCATGTTTCTGTGTACTACGTCATCAATTTCACAGAGGGGTGATATGGATTCAGAAAACCACAGTGTGGTGATCCGGAAAGTCGGATCACACCGTCACGTGATTGTACAAAAGAGATTGATTTCACCACAAAATTAAATCTGAGGGTCTTTCAGAGAAATATTGACAAGTATATCGATAGGAAGCGCCTGCTGTTATCGATGCCGAAACATTTGTTGTACGACTGAAATGATGTCTCCATTTCCGGTTGTGGACACGAAGATGGGAAACTCCAATCTTCAGAAAACAACAACATGATGGTCATTATCGGCAAAATTTGATAACGTTTTAGGGAGAGAAAATTTATATCACCTCAAAATGGCCACCAGAAGTTTAACAGAAGTGTTTATTTTGATGCGTAACAATGCGCTTCAAAGCAGAAACATGTTTTCTGAACAGGTTTGTATAACTCACCCAGTGGCTGTATTGATTTCGGAAAAGATCTTTATATTCATTGAAGTAGTTTCTTTGGAAAATGCTTTTACATCTGACAAGTACTTAAGTATAATCAGAGGCCTCTATAAAAGTCTTTAGTTTAATCAGAGACAAAGACCTATTTAACAGGTACAGTCGTTTTACCGGTAACGAAGGTATCGGGTCCGTTCGCCCTATCTACCTGTTCGCATGAGTCCGTTCGCGCAGTGTCCGTTCGCCCTATTTCTCGTTCGCCCTTTATCTCGTTCGCCCTCATATATATATACATATTTCCATTTCTATTTGTTTTCTCTGTGATAACTCTTTGAAAGTTAGGAGAGTTGATTTCTTGATCATTCTAAAGGAATGCAAATTTTGCCAAGCGAAAGGTCAGTAGCTAAGAAGGCCTAATATGCATGTAATTCTCGTGCGCTGTCTGTGTCAGACTCTAAGGAGGCCTAATATGCATGTAATTCTCGTGCGGCTGTCTTTGTGTTTGACGTCAGTGGGCGGGGACTATTGAAATTGACATGTGAGGCCTCATGTAATTTAAATCTATTAGTCTACATTTTTAAAATCTAAATTTACATTTTTATTTCAAAATGAAATGGAAATATAAGGAATCACTGTCTAGTTAGTAGAGTATGCCAGGGACATCAACGATAGTTGGAAACGTGAGATAATTTATGCATAACGGGCTTCGCCCGTTATGCAAATTATCCCACGTTTCCAACTATCGTTGATGCCCTGGCATACTCTACTAACTAGACAGTGATTCCTTAATACATGCTTAATTGGTTGAATTATACTTAATAATGTCACTGCAATTTCGGGGATCATATCCGTGTTTTTTTAACAATCCGCGGTATGTTTTGATAACAATTAAAGGACTGAGACGTTAATAGGCCCATTATGGAGCTGAGCAGCGGATAAGCAAGGTTTTACCTTTGAAGATATGAGACCTTTGATCTAAAAAATGATATATAGGAAGAAGGAAGATGAAAATTCATCAAACTACTATCGAAAAAAATCCATTGGTTCATTATTCAACTTTCTGCAATATAAATAGGGCGAACGAACCCTGGGCGAACAAGTTTTAGGGCGAACGGACTCTGGGCGAACGAGAATCAGGGCGAACAAGTTTTAGGGCGAACGAACATACAACCGGTAACGAATATTTGCCAATTTTTTATTTAATTATTCTTGAAAAACATAGTGACGGGTTTAAAAATTTCTTACTAGGTAAATAGAATAAAAGGATGAGTATTCTACTCCCGTGTTGTGTCTTTGTAACATCTACATGATTAATTTCAACAATTTGAAACAATGACCCAGATTTGAACAGGCGCAAATGCAAGTCATAGAAAACGAAAGTGTGGGAACAAATGCGTCTAAATAAAATTTTTCAGTGTGTTGTTGACCCAGACTGAGTATGTTATCAATATTTAGGATAATTGTGACAAGTTAAAATATTAAAATACACAATAATTGATTTTTAAATGAAATTATAACATCCAAACTAACCACGTGTCATTTTCTTAGTTTCGAATCATGAATTACCGAAGTTCGAAAAATGTCATTTTATGGGATGCAAAAAACACGAAAAACTGACAGAAGTGAAAATACTACCAAAAAAAATTACTAGCAAAGGTATTCCATGAAAATTATGTCTCAGAGATGGCCGATTTAATTTTAATAAAGCATATTGATCGCTTAAAGTTTATCACAAAATGCAAAATGTTTCATACTGTTTAGTTTTAGCAAAAAAAATCATTTAAATCAACAAGTAATGTTTATATACTTTATGTAGAATTTTCTTAAAGGCATATTTCAACAATAATTTCGATCCGCTGATTTTGTCTATTGGGTCAGCAAGAGTAAAGGGAGCTTGATTCGATACTGAAAAATCGATTCTAAACTAGGAAAATAGGGGGTGTTGTAATTGACATTTCTGTGCCTGTAACATTCATATATTGGGAATTTTGGTACAGACTGTACACTTATTTGAAAAGCATAGAAATACAAATTAAACAACAACCAAGAACATTTGGAACTTCAACCATGTAGGTTGCATGCAAGACGTAACAACAAACTGATTCGTTACTGGTAAAATGACTGTACGGCATATTTGTACTATAGAGCTATAAGGACTATGAAAAAAGCAATCCAAATAAAAGAATACTTTAAACTTTTCTGAACACATTTTAGCAAAAGATGTTTTTCATTGTTTGTGTAAATGTATACATCTTGTGTGCAGTGAGGCATGGATAAGTATGATTACTACACACTGTGCTGGATTATTAGTTATCAATTATCTTGTTGACCAGATTTGACCTGTTTTATAATCTCATTCAAGAAGTAACTGTGTGGTCACAAATCAATTGCTTTATATAGCCCCAAAATTTTTATACCTTTGAGCATGTTGAGTACAAAGGCAAAGAAGGAGACAGTTTGATAAACAATTTTTTGTGCATTTGTTTTCAGAACAATAAACATTCATTGTTGAAAATTATCACTGCATGCACCAAAGTGGAGGTTTTCTCACATGCTGAAAAAATACACATTTAAGAAAAAATTAAAAGTATGTCTGTTATGATAAAAAAGATAAATCAGGCTATTTTTGATACCTACATCTGTCTGTATAGCTATCTCAAGTTAAATAGCCGAATCATAGTTTTTTTTGAATAGCTAAATCAAGCTATAAAGCTAATTCAAGCTACATATCTAAATCAAGAGATTGTGCCAGACCTGTTTATGTCTCTGGTTTAATTGATTACAAATAACCACATCATTCTCTGAAGTAATTGAAATTATGAATTTTTTATTGAAGATTTTTTTTCCATTATATGTATCATCATGATTATGATGTACATGTATTAGATGTAAAAAGTTTGCCATAGAAATAGATTTTGTCAAAGTTATATGCAGTCATTATCAGCATGAAGAGTGTAAGTAAAAACAAATGGGAGAGTGGGTGGAGGGTATATTAATATGGTATTATGATAATGGAATTTTTTAAAAATATACTTCCAAAAATGCAGTTGGAAATTGTCAAATTATGAAAATGTCATCATAATTATGTGAAGTAGATTCAAAGGACAAGATATGGTAATAATTAAATTTGACCCCTTATTTAATGTTAAAATCAAATCACAGTTAAAAGTGTGATCATAGTTTGCAGTTAAGAACTTTAAATGGTTGCTCGTTTTAAAACCAGCACTAGTTTTAGCTTTCAGGGTGCCAAAGTATGACATTTTATTGAATTTCCTCAATGCTGAATGATTGAATTTCGTCAAAATTTGAGATACTCCTAAGTTCGAGAAACAGAGCACAAGCTTGCCTATCTGAGATTTTTATACACAAGGTGCATCTAATACTTGTGCATGAAATATATGAAGTTTGGTATATATATGCAAGCTTGTATTCTCTGCTTTCTGAAACAAAATGTGCTATAAAATTTATAAAAATTTGCATAAAAATGAAAAAAATTCAAAAATTGACATATTTTTTACCTTCCTGTGACCTTTGTGTACCCCATAACATAGAATCAATACTAAGGATGACAGCAGGTTTTTAATGATGAACTGTTGCATCATTCTTAGAGACTCCACAAACCAGGGGCCAAAAAAGATCTTAGCCTATCTTGTCCTTTGTTCAAGTCTTGAAGCCTATCTTGTCCTTTGTTCAAGTCTTGATCTTTGGACCAAATAGAGATGAAATTTTTGAAAGGAGTAGATTAGAAAAATGACACATGGTATGGCTAAAATTTGTGATATTCCAGTAAAGGGTTGGATTTGCACTGAACTTTTTTTTTTCTTTTATGCTTTACACATTGATTGGCAGACAAATCATCCTGATTTCAGCTTGCTGATGACAGAATGGCCTTGGTTTCCAGTTGTCATGTTGATCCAGAGTTAGGAATAGCTAGTACCAAGTCTGCTAGACTGCCTCCAGAATGGTAAGTTAGGAATAGCCAGTACCGAGTCTGCTAGACTATGGTATTAGGTAAGTTAGAAATAGCCAGAACCAAGTCTGCTAGACTGATCCAGAATGATACATGTAAGCAAGGAATAGTCAGCACAAGTCTGGTAGACTGCCTCCAGAATGGTAAGTTAAGAATAGCCAGTACTAAGTCTGGTAGACTGTCTCCAGAATGGTCAGTATTTCTCTGTACATAGTATAGAGTTTTACATAAAATGGCTATAAGAAGATTTTAGTCGGCAAAAATTCAAGAAGACCATGAAAGCTTATTCAAGAATTCCTTTAATTGACAGACTTGAAATATCACGAAAATAAAAGACTGATGTTTAACAGTAACATACTAATAACTATGTTGTTTATGGAATTGTTTAATATTTTCTGCTGATATAACTTGTTTGTTACTGTTATTCAGTGGTAACTTTTTATTGTAGGGTTACTGTTATTCAGTAGTAACTTTTGTAATGTTGGGTTACTTTATTTAGTGGTAACTTTTGAATTGTAGGGTGGATGGTGTGGAAGAAGTTCAGTTTGAAATGTCAAGAATCAAACAAAAAAGTGAGAATTTATCAGATCAGGCTATATATATTATATAAGAAATATAAGGAAAATTTTTCTTCAAAATGATTTTACTAGGAGATTAAAGATTTAGCTCAATGTACTGAAATCATTTAAGTGTCTGATGATTTTTTTTTAGCTCACCTGAGCTGAAAGCTCAAGTGAGCTTTTCTGATCACATTTTGTCTGTAGTCCGTCTGTCCGTCTGTCCGTCTGTCCGTCTGTCTGTAAACTTTTCACATTTTCGACTTCTTCTCCAGAACCACTGGGCCAATTTCAACCAAACTTGCCACAAAGCATCCTTGGGTGAAGGGGATTCAAGTTTGTTCAAATGAAGGGCCACGCCTTCTTTCAAGGGGAGATAATTAAGAATTAGTGAAAAATGAATAGCATCTTTAAAAAATCTTCTTCTCCAGAACCACAGGGCCAGGAAAGATGAAACTCATATGGAAGCATCCCCAGGTAGTGTAGATTCAAGTTTGTTCAAATCATGACCCCCGGGGGTAGGGCGGGGCCACAATGGAGGATCAAAGTTTTACATAGAAATATATAGGAAAAATATTTAAAAATCTTCTTCTCAAGAACAGTAAAGCCATGAAGAGTCATATTTATACGGAAGCATCCCCAGGTAGTGTAGATTCAAGTTTGTTCAAATCATGACCCCTGGGGGTAGGGCGGGGCCACAATGGAGGATCAAAGTTTTACATAGAAATATATAGGAAAAATCTTTAAAAATCTTCTTCTCAAGAACAGTAAAGCCATGAAGAGTCATATTTATATGGAAGCATCCTCAGGCAGTGTAGATTCAAGTTTGTTCAAATCATGACCCCCGGGGGTAGGGCGGGGCCACAATGGAGGATCAAAGTTTTACATAGAAATATATAGGAAAAATCTTTAAAAATCTTCTTCTCAAGAACAGTAAAGCCATGAAGAGCCATATTTATATGGAAGCATCCTCAGGAAGTGTAGATTCAAATTTGTTCAAATGATGACCCCCGGGGGTAGGGCGGGGCCAAAATGGAGGATCAAAGTTTTACATAGAAATATATAGGAAAAATCTTTAAAAATCTTCTTCTCAAGAACAGTAAAGCCATGAAGAGTCATATTTATATGGAAGCATCCTCAGGAAGTGTAGATTCAATTTTGTTCAAATCATGACCCCTGGGGGTAGGGCGGGGCCACAATGGAGGATCCAAATTTTACATAGAAATATATAGGAAAAATCTTTAAAAATCTTCTTCTCAAGAACAGTAAAGCCATGAAGAGTCATATTTATATGGAAGCATCCTCAGGTAGTGTAGATTCAAGTTTGTTCAAATGATGACCCCCGGGGGTAGGGCGGGGCCACAATGGAGGATCCAAATTTTACTTAGAATTATATAGGAAAAATCTTTAAAAATCTTCTTTTCAAGAACAGTGAAGCCATGAAGAGTCATATTTATATGGAAGCATCCTCAGGAAGTGTAGATTCAATTTTGTTCAAATCATGACCCCTGGGGGTAGGGCGGGGCCACAATGGAGGATCCAAATTTTACATAGAAATATATAGGAAAAATCTTTAAAAATCTTCTTCTCAAGAACAGTAAAGCCATGAAGAGTCATATTTATACGGAAGCATCCTCAGGTAGTGTAGATTCATGTTTGTTCAAATGATGACCCCCGGGGGTAGGGCAGGGCCACAATGGAGGATCCAAATTTTACTTAGAAATATATAGGAAAAATCTTCAAAAATCTTCTTTTCAAGAACAGTAAAACCATGAAGAGTCATATTTATATCGAAGCATCCTCAAGAAGTGTAGATTCAATTTTGTTCAAATCATGGCTCCCGGGGGTAGGGCGGGGCCACAATGAAGGATCAAAGTTTTACATAGAAATATATAGGAAAAATCTTCTTCTCAAGAACAGCAAAGCCATGATGAGTCAAATTTATATGGAAGCATCCTCAGGTAGTGTAGATTCAATTTTGTTCAAATGATGACCCCCGGGGGTAGGGTGGGGCCCAATGGGGGATCGAAAGTTTTACATAAGAACATATAGAAAAAAAAATTTCTTCTCAAGAACAGAAAAGCTATGTTAGTCTTATTGATATTGAAGCATCCTCGGGTAATGTAGATTCAAGTTTGTTCAAATGATGACCCCTGAGATGGGGAGGAGCTACAATGGGGGATCAAATTTTTACAAAGGAATAAATGGGAAAATTTTTTTAAAATCTTCTCAAGTACAACAAATTCATTTGTTATATTGACATGAAAGCATCATCAGGTAGTTTAAAATTCAAGCCCCCCCCCCCCCCCGTTCATTACTGAACTGATTTGTGCCTTAGTCTAGCCAGTGTGCTCAGGTGAGCGATGTGGCCCATGGGCCTCTTGTTTTAAATGTATTTGAAATTTTGTCTGTGATGTCTTACAATTCACTATATGTTATGTAGATGTAGCTGTGCTGTGATGACTAATGAAAAATTGTCTGTTTTCCAGTGATTAAATTATTATGCCTTGTATTTAATGTATCAAAAATTATGTAATAGTTTTTTTTTTCAGGTTCATGACTATTGACTCTTTGACTCTTTACAATTTTAAAAAATCTTACTGTATTTGGGTTTTCACATGAGGAAAGTTGAAAAGTGAGAGATAAATAAAAGCAACATTATAAATGTACAGCAATGATTGCAAGAACTAGGAAAAGACAGATTTTTTTACATAATCATGTACAACTATTTAAAAATGACTGTTGATTTTTCAGTGAAGGAGCTTGCCACCCTTCATGACAGACATTTGAATCGTCCAACACTTGATGATAGTATACAAGAAGAACATACAATAGAAATTATGACAGGAGAAATCACGCAAGTAAGTCAAGATCATATATGAGAAAACCATGAAGAATGTTTTACATCCTGTTTCATTTGCAAGTCAAGTTCTGAAATGACAAGATAATTTCCAGATGTTCACAAGATGTCAGAGATTGGTTCTACAGATCAGCAGTCGGAGTGTTCATGGGACAGAACAGGAGAAAAGACTGTCCTCCAACATTGTATCATCTCTTGTCCGATCACTGCAGGAGATGTCCACTAACTTCAGGAAAAGCCAGTCTATCTACTTAAAAAGTAAGTCTCTCTTTCTCTCTCTCTCACTTAAAAAACACATTATTCTGTGTTTAAATTTAATCTCCCTCGGGAGATGACACATTAAGTTTGAATCCGGAAGTGAAGTCCTAGTGTAAGCTGCCATTGATAAGCTGGTGGTCTGGCAAAGGGACCTGATGATGACACGATTTCTAAATATAGAGATGTAAACAAAATTGACCAAAGTCTGTCTTATTATTAAACAAAATGGTCCATCTTAAAGTAAAACTACACAGGGTTCATTAAGGGTAATAGAGGTATGATCACTTGGGTGGTGGTGGGTCTTCAAAATACACATAAACATTGTATCTAGGCTATTGCATAAAACGATGGTCAGCACGCGGGGATCAAAATACACAAAACATGGCATATTGAATGTATAAGCCAAGGCGTGGATCCAAGATTTACTGATGAAAGAAAACAGTGAAAACATTTCAATAACAACTCACATTAAATGCATATATACAATGGCAAAAACTTTACTTTTATGTGTACTTTAGTCAATCGATAATTACTGCCGTATATGTAAAAAATAAAACAGAACTTATTCAAAAAAAATAAATAAATAAATAAATTTCGAAGGAAAGAAATTTTACCTAAAAGCACAATTTAGACAGAAACATAAATGTCTCTGATTTAAGTAACTCAGTGCTGCAGGCATTGGAATAAAGATCATAAAGAATCATTATGAGTATTTTCTCGGATGTGTGCACTATATTCTTTTTTATTGAAATTTAGTAGAAATGTAGAAAAGTTTTAGGAAAAGATACAATTTTCTTTACCTGGCTCAGATTTTAAGAATTAATAAACAAAGCAACTGTTATCATTTTCTTTATGCAATTCTAATTTGCGTTTTCTGTCATTGAGAAAAAGTCAAAAACTCACTCCTCGTATTCTTGAAATAAAGCCAAAATTGTAAAATGTGTGTCTCATGGAACAGCCTATAAAATCGATGTTGGTAGATTGGGGTTCTTTTCGGTGTGTAAATACTTAATTTTAAATGGTAACATTTCAATTTTATTACCTTTCTATGTATGATTTTTTTTCCCAGGAGCGTATACATGTGCATGTACTTATATTATACATAATATAGAGTTAGAACATGAATCTGCATGGGCAGCAGAAGGGCATGATGCAGGAGTGTCTCAGTTTTTCCCTTGATATTCCCAGTGGCTCGATAATCAATCAAATCCCAGTGGCTCGATGGCCAAGTCACTTCAGAGGATACGAGTAAGGAAAATAAGGAAAGTCTTCGGAATTAATTGAGGTTCAGATTAATTTCAGTTGGCACTTTAAAACTTCTTTGCTGCCGTAGTAGGCGGCTAAGAACGAAAGTCAAAAGGAACACAAAGTTTTTTTATCCATCTTCTTTCGGAATAATTGTTAAAGCTATATGTGGCGTATCTGAGCTAAAAAATAAAAATACAACATTGAGTGTAGCTAAACATGATATATGTTATTTACATTGAAATTAAATTTTTCACCGATATTGAACTTGAATAACCTCATGATTCCATAGTTAGATTGATTTAAAAAAAAAAAAAAAAAAAAAACTGTGTCTGTTTATTAAATGCTGAATCGGTAAATAAATCAGTTATTGTTTTAAATTTCTAATATCTTTGAAACGTGATTGATTTATATTGTGTAATTTACAGGAAAATCCTATTTTTATGTAAAGTAATAAAACAAATAGAAAGATCTTTTAAATTAAGGTACTCTGAACTTATAAAAAAAATACCCATATATGACTTTAAATAATTCTTACGAATTTCTCAGTGGTTAGAATTTTTTTTAGCTCACCTGAGCCGAAGGCTCAAGTGAGCTTTTCTGATCAAAATTTGTCCGTTGTCTGTCGTCGTCGGTGTCGTCGTCGTCGTTGTAAACTTTTCACAATTTCATCTTCTTCTTCAGAACTACTGGGCCAATTACAACCAAACTTGCCACAAAGTATCCTTGGGTGAAGGGGATTCAAGTTTGTTCAAATGAAGGGCCACGCCCTCTTTCAAGGGGAGATAATAAAGAATTAGTGAAAAATTAATAGCATCTTTTAAAAATCTTCTTCTCAAGAACCAGAGGGCCAGGAAAGATGAAACTCATGTGGAAGCATCCTCAGGTAGTGTAGATTCAAATTTGTTCAAATCATGACCCCTGGGGGTAGGGCGGGGCCACAATGGAGGATCAAAGTTTTACATTGATATATGTAGGAAAAACCTTAAAAAAATCTTCTCAGGAACAGCAGAGCCATGATGAGTCATATTTATATGGAGGCATCCTCAGGTAGTGTAGATTCAAGTTTGTTCAAATCATGACCCCTGGGGGTAGGGCAGGGCCACAATGGACTATCAAAGTTTTACGTAGAAATATATAGGAAAAATCTTTAAAAATCCTCTTCTCAGAAACAGCAAAGCTCTGATTGATCATATTTATATGGAAGCATCCTCAGGTAATGTAGATTCTATTTTGATCAAATCATGACCCCGGGGGTAGGGTGGGGCCACAATGGAGGATCAAAGTCTTAAATAGAAATATATAGGAAAATTTCTTCTTCTGAAGAACTGCAAAGCCATGATTAGTCATTTTGATATGGAAGCATCCTCAGGTAGTGTAGATTCAAGTTTGTTAAAATGATGACCCCCTGGGATAAGGTCAGGCCACAATGCAGGATCAAAAATTTTACATAAGAACATATAGGAAAAATATTTCTTCTCAAAAACAGAAAAGCTATGTTTAGTCATATTGATATGGAAGCATCCTCAGGTAGTGCAGATTCAAGTTTGTTCAAATGATGACCCCTGGGATAGGGAGGAGCCACAATGGGGGATCAAATTTTTACAAAGGAATATATGGGAAATTTTTTAAAAAATCTTCTCAAGTACAACAAAGCCATTTGTTATATTGACATGGAAGCATCATCAGGTAGTTTAAAATTCAAGCCCCCCCCCCCCCCCCCCCCCCCCCGTTATCTTTTCAATACTGAACTGATTTGTGCTTTTGCCAAGCCAATGTATCAGGTGAGCAATGTGGCCCATGGGCCTCTTGTTACAGACATTATAGTGATTATACAAAATATATTTTAAATGAATAAAGCATATTTACAACAGGTAAAATAATACAGGCACGTAGCACCAGGAAGGCCGCCCCTTCCACTTTTTTCCCCAAACATTGAAAAAGGCGCACCCTTGACCCCTCTTCCACCTTTTGTTGCAGTATGGTACGTCAAATCATCCCATGGGAATGTATTATGATATGAAATATGTTTGTCGGAAAAGTTGTAATCCCTCCTTCCAAGAAATGAAAATGCTGAGTTTGGATAGCCCCTTTTTTCCCCTTGTCAAAGATTCTTCAGATAAGTCGTCGATTTTTTTTTTCTGTCTTCCCCCCCCCCCTTTTTTTCAAAAGCAATACTACTGCCTGTAATAGCTGAGAAAATAATGTTTGTGACATCAATGAAGCCAAATAGATGACATTTCAGGTTTTCTGGAAAGCCAAAATATGTTGTTTTTTTTTTTAATTTAAAAAGTTGGAGGGGAGGTCATGGCTGTAATACATCAGAAAAAATATTGTCCAATTCTCGTAACTACAGTACATGTATTATTATAAAAGTGTTAATTTTTCCTTATGTCAAAAAAATTATTCTTAGTTTCTTAAGCCAGAAAATTCAAAATGTAAATGGTAATAGGCTGGTGTGTTTTTTTAAAGCAAGAGTTATTTCACCTTTTTCTTGTTTGGACTTCATTTGATGCTCAGTAACCTATAGAAAGTTTTTTCAAAACATTTTTCATGAGGAGTTTATGATAAAATATTGTAATACCAAGATATACTTTAAGCATCTAATAGAAGTGTGGGTAAAAATGGGAAGTAATTTTCTTTATCAACTTGAAAAATGGACAACAATTTCTCCTCAATATTTGAATAAAATTGATCAATGCAGAAGTTTCTTTTACCTAATGCAGCAGTGCCTGAGAAACAAATTAAAGATAACTTTGGTGGTCTTACCATTAGTTTTAATAAATAACTGTATCATTGGATCAAAATCTTTGTAGTACAGTTGGAAATTTGAATTTTTAAACTTTGTTTAACATTTTTCAAGATGAGAAATTCTGTTATTTTATTACTACAGTTGAACTTCGGTATCTCGAACAATGATATCTGTATACCATGGATATGTCGAAGTAATATGGAAGTCCCAACTTTTTATTCTTTATGTATTTTACCCTCGATATCTCGAATCATCGGATATATCGAAGTTTTTCCTCGGTCCCATGGAGTTCAGGATAACTAGGTTTGACTGTATTTTAATAGATAATTGTACGTACATGTACAGTGACTGTCAGAATTTTACTGTAAATATATTGGTACATTTGTGATTTTTTTTTGACATTTAGTTAGATATTATCTAGTGTTGTCAACGAGTACCCGGTTAAACGGTTAATTGTGAAAGATGCGAGTATCGGTTAGTAAAACTGTTACTCGGTTACTCAGATATATTGAATTTTATAGAATAAATCACTAGGAATAATGTATTTTTATTTATAATGTCCCCATTTTATTTACCCTTATTTAATGTTAGTCTAGTCTAGTAAGACCTAGCGTTTTACAAATGCAATCGATTTGTTTTGATTAGTATTTCACAGTTTATCTAATTGATGGCTTTGATTGCGAAGGGGTATACAAGTTTTGAAGGCTTGATTTAATTATAATAACCTTACATACACCTGTGGTAGTCCAGAGTACAAGATTAAGGAAGATGCCGCCACATGCATTGAAAGCATGGAAATATTTTTAAAAGAATGGCTGAATATAAATCTGTGAGGTGTTAATTATGTGAAATGGAATTAACATACATGGATGGGATGATTCATATGCTTAACCACCTCAGAGTGACATTTAACTGTGAAACCAGCAATATTTAAAGTGCAAAACAGCCAACGATTACGGGGTGTTTGAGATTAAATTTATTTAGTAGATATCGTGTGTAACTGGTTACTCGATCAGAAAAGTAAGCGAGTAACCGGTTACTAAAAATTGTCCGATTTGACAACACTAATATTATCAGTTGTCTATGACAAGATTAATTTTTTTTTTCAGAAATCAAATCTCGGGAGGAGAGATCTCGTGAGTTTTTTGACACCAGTATCGGCCCTGATTCAGCATTAATGCAGGAATCTGACCTTTTCTCAGAACACTATGATAAGGTAGAGAAAATGACACTCTCTGGTTAAATTCTTGTGATTTTCTGCCAAGATAAATCTACTGCAATATTTGAACAATTAATAAATTTTGAGTAATAAAATTCTTTTATTTTCAATTTCTTAGGTAACAAATTCATATTTCAGACACAAAAATAATTATCTTAATAAAGAATAGAGACAGCACTTTTGTGTATAATGAATTTTTTTTCCATAAACAGGAACTGGATACCGTGGTAATGTTAATTGCATAGTATCAAGAGAATCTTTGCTCATGTATAAATTTGATTGCTTAACTCTTTCAGACAATATAAACACCTTTAAATCTTTGCATAGTGAGAAATAGGAGGCTACTGGCAGAAAGTAACATATTTAAATCTTGGCATAGTTAGAATGGGGAGACAACAGAAATGTTTTGCAAGGTGCATGAAAATGAGCAGAAGACACCCTAAAAGAATCGTACAGTTGTAACAGTCCTTTACATTGTAGCCATAAATGTTGATTGATTGACTGCTCACTGATTGTCTTACTAACTTGTACTGGAAAAAGATAACAGACTCTGCTATGTACTGAGTGTTGCTTGCTATGTTTGTGATAGATATGGGGGAGAATCTTTTTTATCCATTTTCAAAAATATTTACAAAATTCTTTATTATTTTTCATGTGCATTGATTTATAATCATTTCTGAGTATTCTTTTGATACCATACTGTGTCATATAAAAATGAGATAATGATTATGTACAAACTCATGCAAGGGAAATTATCTCCCATTTACATGTATGTCATTTGTTAATAGGGATTTTCAAAGGCCCAGATGCAGATGGTGGAAGACAATACTATAGCTGTTCGACATCGAGAAAAGGAAATAACACAAATTGTAAAATCTATTCAGGATTTAAATGACATTTTTCGAGACCTGTCACAGATGGTGGTGGACCAGGGGACAATTCTGGATAGGATTGACTATAACGTGGAGCATGCTAGTGTTCAGGTAGAGAAAGGACTACAACAGTTAAAGAAGGCCGAAAAATACCAGAAGAAAAACCGCAAAATGTTGATCATCATTATACTCACCTGTCTAATTATTATCTTAATTATTGTGTTAATTGGTGTTAAGAGCTAGTATTAGAGGTTTTGTTAGTTTTGACTATTGTGGTATTTCTCGTTATTTGTGTTGTGAAATAAAGAAAAACACAACATGCAGTTGATACATGTGGTATATGCATTGTATTCAACTTTGTTTATTTTAATATTGAAAATCAGTCTCAAAATATATGCATTTACAACCTATAAAAAGGATTTTAAATTGTGAATAATAAGCATGTACATGTATTTCATGCTCAAAAAGGTTAACTTTAGATATGTAAACAGAATTAAGAACAACAAAGAAAACAACCTGAAGTGACTGTAAAACCAATTTATGTTACACACTATATCCAATTTCTACTTTATCTTGAAGAAATGTAAATCTAAATCTTAATTTCAATTTTTTTTTTTTTGTGAAATTGTAACTTTGAAAAAATTGTTTGTATGGGACTTAATGCATTTATTGATGAGAAAACAGTTTTATGGACATATACACAACATAGTTTTGAACTTTTTTTCTTATTTCCTCTATAATTGAAGATTTCCAATAGAAAAAGGACCAAATAAATCCGTATGTTTACTAATTCTTCTTTGAAAAACACAAGATTGTTATCATTTGATATTTATTCCAAACCCCTGGTAATCTATGCTGATTTTTTTTGGTTAAGAACATCTTATGATTGAAGGTACATTGTGTATGATGACCTTAGATTAATTATCTTCAGCATGTACTGTTGATGTTGGGGGAGCGTTGTATAAAGTAAAACTGTTTATCATTTGCACAGGTCAAATTGCTACACATGCTTAAGAAGGAATATCTCTTCAAAATATATTGATATGATGTATACAACAAATATATAAATACAATCATGTAAATTTCATATGTTTTCAGAAATGAAATTGCCAGTCTACATTGTTCAGTGGTTTTCCCCCCAAATGTTTTTTTAAAGTAAAATTACATGTATTTATAAACTTTTTAAAACCAGAGGACTTAGTTTATTATATCCTTACTTATTTCTGCTCCAGGTGTTTTATTTCCTTAACATATAAGAATTTCATGTTTATTAACTTTTTATTGTATAATCAACACATGTCTAACAGAAAAGGAAATTAATATGTATAGTAATCATGAAATTTATGTGTTTGTAATTTTAAAAATTACTGTGTTTATGAATTAAGAATTATCATAAAGAAACTTCCATTTAAATTGATGTCTTGGACATCAGTTAGGAATGAGAAGTTAATCTTTTGAAAAACAAAAAAACAAAAAAACAAAAAAAAAAAAAAAAAAAAGAAGAAGAAAAAACTAGTCAGTTGAAGAAGTTGCCGTCATTCCATTAGAGTGGGGACCTATTGTAGTTATGTAACATTCCAAGCTATACTTCAACATTTACAACATTTTTTTATGTGCAATAACTTGGTTTTGTGTTGCAAACCCCTTTATTTTTTAAGGTTGTCAGTGTTTTTACACAATCAATGTACAAAATTCAGTAACCTTGCAAGACACACAGTCCAATTTTTCAGTTTTTTTTCTTCAGAGTTTCATCATGACGTAGTGGATACAAATGACTTCTTAAACAAGAGGCCCATGGGCCACATTGCTCACCTGAGTAACTTTGGCCATGCTGTTCATTACCAGACTTCCCCCCTTGTAATACCTATTGTGGCCCCGTCCTACCCCCGGGGGCCATGATTTGAACAATTTAGAATCTACACTACCCCAGGATGCTTCCACATAAGTTTCAGTTTTTCTGGTCCAGTGGTTCTTGAGAAGATTTTTAAAGATTTTTCCTATATATTTCAATGTTTCCCTATTGTGGCCCCGCCCTACCCCTGGGGTCATGATTTGAACAATTTAGAATCTACACTACCCCAGGATGCTTCCACATAAGTTTCAGCTTTTCTGGCTCAGTGGTTCTTGAGAAGAAGATTTTTAAAGATTTTTCCTATATATTTCAATGTAAAACTTGGATTCCCTATTGTGGCCCCGCCCTACCCCCGGGGGTCATGATTTTAACAATTTAGAATCTACACTATCCCAGGATGCTTCCACATAAGTTTCAGCTTTTCTGGCTCAGTGGTTCTTGAGAAGATGATTTTTAAAGATTTTTCCTATATATTTCAATGTAAAACTTGGATTCCCTATTGTGGCCCCGCCCTACACCCGGGGGTCATGATTTTAATAATTTAGAATCTACACTATCCCAGGATGCTTCCACATAAGTTTCAGCTTTTCTTGCACAGTGGTTCTTGAGAAGAAGATTTTTTAATGACCCCATCCTATTTTTGTCATTTCTTGATTATCTCCCCTTGTAAGGGGACTTGGCCCTTTATTTTAACAATTTAAACTCCCCTTCACCCAAGGGTACTTTGTACCAAGTTTGGTTAAAATTGGCCCAGTGGTTCTTGAGAAGAAGTTGAAAATGTGAAAAGTTTACAGACGGACGGACAACGGGTGATCAGAAAAGCTCACTTGAGCTTTCAGCTCAGGTGAGCTAAAAATTGTCAGCCCTATTGACAAAAAAAAAAATCACAGGTCTGCTCTCTGAATTTTATGCACTGTACACAATTAGGAGAGAGATGTATAAGTGTACAAATAATATACCTGTATATATGTGGTTTTAATACATGTGTTGTTACAGTGTAGATGTGGTATAAGTGGGTACATATGTATATAAGTAATACACCTGTGTACTGAGTATGTGAACAGTGGTTTTAATACACGTTGTTACAGTGTTTTAGTTATCTGTGATATTAATATGACAATTGTTAAAAAAGTAACTACTTTGAAATAAAAAAGAAGTGGATTTATAATTGTAGACTTAGCTTGTATATATGCATATTACCAAATGGCTTTATCATGCTGATTAAGTTAAATTTTGATAAAATTTGTCATGGAGTGAGAGAGATACTCCTTGGACTTGGGGTATTCTTCCCCTTGTCACTCTACTTTCTCCTTTAATATCCCCTCCTTTCAACCTCCTCTCAGCCCTTCTCTTTGGTTACTGGCAGTGTCATAGCAGAACTCAATTCTCCTGAGATTCAATTTGAATTAATCTAGCTCTGTGATAAATTTTGGGTGAGTTGGGGTGGTGGATTTTTTCTAATTGATTTTTTATGAATAGGTCAGGAGTCAGGATTGGTGAACATGTATAATAAAAATGTTGATTTTCTGACGAACCTCTTATTTGACTCAAAAATCCAAAAAAATGATACAAATTGTGAGCAGGGCAAACACAAACCGACGAAAACTTTAGAGGTGGGATTAGTTAAGTGCCATGGAGGAGTAAGCATCTCCTGTCAACTAGTTACACCTGCTGTGTGCCCTTTGTCATGATTGGGTAAACAGAGAAATCAATTCAGTAGACTTTGCAAAATGTGGACTTAACATGAGATTATAGGTACCCTTGTATCATCGACTTATTTGTCAGTAGTCTGTCTCATTTTAGAAGTTTGTACAAAGAAGTGCAAGGATGTGTCAATCAAACGCGTCTCAAAATTCGTAGTTTCAATAATTTCCAGATAATAGAAGTTTCTTAACATGCTTTTATTATATTTTCACATGAAATGCTTTAGCAACATATAAGGCATGGTTTTATAAAGAAACATTTGAAAAACCAGAAGTCTCTGATGAGACTGTAGCTCTACTGGTTTGTACTTATAATGAAGGAAGATAAAAGTAGCACTTGGACTTGAAACTTTGCAACAGCAATAAATAGAATAATGATCCTTGGTTTAGTCTCTTTTTGTAGCAAGATTTATTGCAATCAGACTAAAACTGTAGGAGGAGTAGCCTTTTGAAAGAATTTTACAGAAATTTCGATTTTAGTAACCATGGCAACATCATTCAACAAAATCAAAAAACAATAAAGACAATTTTGTATCTTAGTGTAGTCCACTTGTGTGCCAAGTTATACTAAAATTAGACCAAAACTGTAGGAAGAGTAGCATTTTGAAAGTATTTCACAGAAATTGCTTTTTAGTAACCATGGCAACACCATTCATCGAAATCAAAAACCAATAAATAGAATTATGTATCTTAGTGTAGTCTACTTGTGGGCCAAGTTATACTGAAATCAGATCAAAACTGTAGGAGGAGTAGCATTTTGAAAGTATCTCAAGGAAATTTCTATTTTTAGTAACCAAGGCAGCACCATTCATCGAAATCGAAAAAAAAAAACGATGTACAGAATTATGTATCTTAGTATAGTCTACTTGTGTGCCAAGTTATACTGAAATCAGACCAAAACTGTAGGAAGAGTAGTATTTTGAAAGTATTACAGAGAAATTTCTATTTTTAGTAACCATGGCAACATCGTTCATCGAAATTAAAAACCGATACACAGAATTATGTATCTTAGTGTAGTCGACTTATATGCCAAGTTTTATTGAAATCAGATCAAAACTGTAGGAGGAGTAGCGTTTTGAAAGTTTTTCAAGGAAATTTCTATTTTTAGTAACCATGGCAACACCATTCATCGAAATTAAAAACCGATAAACAGAATTATGTATCTTTATGTAGTCTACTTATGTGCCAAGTTATATTGAAATCAGACCAAAACTGTAGGAGGAGTAGCATTTTGAAAAAATGTTTACAGACGGACGGACAGACAGACAGCTAGACGGACGGACGACGGACACCTTACTATCGCATAAGCTCTTTTGGTCTCTGACCAGTAGAGCTAAAAATTAACTTCAAATCTGTTTCCAGGCCCCTTTAAAGATAATGAAGTACATGCATGTACTCATGAACAGAAATCACTGTTGTTCACTTATGTTAGGGCAATACATACCAGTAGAGTTACATGATGTAGTTGAGGCTCCCGGCGTGTAATAATTATTTATTTAAAAAAAAAAATCATATACGGTAATAGTAAAACAACACAAGGGAGGACGCCATTTTGGACCCCTTCCTCGCTTCAACCTGTTTTCGTTATAATTTGCCGTATTTTACTGACTCACCGCCTCGGATCTAAGTAATAATTCTTCTAGGACATAATGCTTAAATTTTCCCTCCACAATACACATTTCAGACTAATAATAATCCAAACTCGCTCTTTAGGACAGTTGATAGGGACTGAAATTTTTCTCTACTTGCAGCCCCCTTACACTGTGTATGCAACTTCTCTGTTAAATTCAATTATTAATTGATGGAGCATATCTTTGCCACGGTCTTTTGGCCATGTTGACTTAAAAATAACTATTAACGTCGTGCCATATTTAAATAACAACTTCTGGATATATCTCTAGGATATGGAAATTCCTTGGACCAAAAGTAAACAACATTGGTAAGTTTGTAAACCTGCGAACAATTCTAAAAAAACAAAAACATGAGTATTTTATTATTTTGTTTATATAACATCGATCTTTTCGACAACTAGGCCCTATTCACTGCTATTTGTACAGTACTAGTATCATGTTTTAGTCCGCGTCCCGCCCTATCATCATCACATAAAATACATATATTAAGCTTGAAAAAATTTCATTGATCAGTTTAATCGAAGTTCTATGGAGAACTGATGTGTTTATACTAAACGATGAAGTATATATGTGTTTGTATCAATTTAGGTAATCCACCTAATCCATAACGTTCTACGGTGGACCAGTGTCGTCATTTTTAAGTCGGCTCGAAAATGAATTATATCCTGCCTGTTTTCATTGGAAATGTATTTGTTCTTGATAAATTCGCCTTATCAAATATATCATAGGTCTACTTAGTTTAATATAAATGGCAGTGAATATACTAGTTACATTTGAAATGTTAATAATTGCTCAGTGGGCAAAATAGTTCCATTTCCGGACGGGGTCATAGCTACATGTATAGGAGGTCGTAACTGAGTGAACAATTTGAAATCAATCAATATTTCAAGGACAGTAACAATACATTGTTGCATCACTACGTAAGTTACATTTAAGGTAGAACTTACGTCGGAAAAGTCTGTCTCAAAATCTTCAACCTTTTCAAAATGATTAATTAACACTCGCTTATCAATCCACTCAAGTATATGACATGTTTCTCTGTTGTTTATGTAGTGCAGCCTGTGCAGCTTGGAACGATAATTATATACTGCGACTACAATTTTGAGTCATTTTTAGGGGTACAGTCACATGGAGAATACAGAAAATCACAAAATACTTCTTGATAGACCTTATTAACTGACCATAGTTGGAATTGTTATATCTTTAAGAAATGGTTCTATTTTAAAAAATCTAACATTTCCAATGTTTTACTGAGCGGTCATAAAAAAATTTGATGTTTGTCTGCTGAGTGAGATATTGGACCTGTCGATGAGATATTGGATCGCTTACGTCACACTATGGGCGGGGTCAGCTAAATTTTATTTGCATTCGTTGGTTTTCGACAGTGACAGAATTGACCGAGTTTTACTGCAGTGTGGGTAAAGGTACACCAAGACATAACATGGAAGCAAACACAAGATACATGTATGTCAAAAAAGGGGTATAACAAAACATTTATTGACTGTGTTCTCGGGAAAAAATGCCTTTTGTCGGACCCCAGAGCCAAACTGTTTGCCTAAGACCGTTATGATTTGAACAAACTTGAATCTACACTACCGAGGATGCTTCTTTATTAATATGATTAATAATGGCTTAGCTGTTTTTATGCCCCTGGATCGAAAGATCCCGGGGATATATTGTTTTTGTCCTGTATGTCTGTCTGTCTGTTGTCAACTTTAACCTAGTCCATAACTATTGCGCTGCCAAGGGTAAGGCTTTAATATTTGACAGGTACAGAAATTTTTGATCATGTGACCTCAACTGTGACCTTTGACCTACATTTGAAAAACTTTAACATTGGCCATAACTATTGCACTGTATAGTCTACGTCTCACTCCAGAATTGTGTTACCATCGGGGGCATAGTGTTTCACAAACACATCTTGTTTGAGAACATGTTTTTTGTAAAAAAAAATAAATAAATAAATAAATAATAATAATAATAATAACAATTTCTGTTTATTCCTATGTAAAATTTTGATCCCCGGTTGTGGCCCAACCCAACTCCAAGGGTCATGATTTGAACAAATTTGAATCTACTCTACTTGAGGATGCTTCTGTATTAGTATGACTAATAATGGTATAGCTGTTCTTGAGAAGATTTTTAAAAAGATTTTTCCTATATATTCCTACGTAAAACTTTGATCCCGTTTTGTAGCCCCGTCCTATCCCGGGGGTCACGGTTTAGAAAAAATTTAATCTACACTATACCTGAAAATGCTTCTGTATTAATATAACTTATAATGGCGCAGCTGTTCGTGAGAGAAATATTTTTTTAGGATGTTTCCTTTATATTCCTATGTAAAACTTTGATCCCCTATTTTTGCCCCGTCCTACTCCCCTGTGTTCATGATTTGAATAAACATGAAATTACACTACTTGAGAATGCTTCTATATTACTATGATTAATAATCATTATGGCTTTGCTGTTCTTGAGAAAAAGATTTTTATAGATATTTCCTATATATTTCTATGTTAAAATTTGTTTCCCTGTTCAGTGTTGGGCCTCCATCCTACCCCAGGGGTTATGATTTGGAGAATCTTGAATCTACACTATCTGAGGATGCTGCTGTTTTAATATGTTTAATCATGGCTTTGCTGTTAGAAGAAGATATTTAAAAGATTTTTCTTATAAATTCCTATATAAAACTTTTCCCCCTTTGTGTCCCCGCCCTACCCCGGGGTCATGATTTGAACAAACTTGAATCTACACTATCTTAGTAGTGAGGATCCTTCCGTATTAATATGACTAAAATGGCTTTGCTGTTCTTGAGAGTAAGATATTTTTAAAAGATTGTTCATATATATTTCTCTGTAAATCTTTGATCCCCTGTTGTGGCACCACCCTACCCCCAGAGGTCATGATTTGGACAAACCATAATCTAAATTATCTGAGGATGCTTCTTTATTACTTTACTATATATAGTCATTAATTAACATGGGTTTTGCTGTTGTTGAGAAGAAGATTTTTTAAAGATATTTCTTATACATTCCTGTGTAAAACTTTGACCCCTGTTGTCGCCCCGCCCTACCCCCATGGGTTCATGATATGAACAAATTTGAATCTACAGTATGTAATAATTTAAATCTCTCACATAGGTTTCATTTTTCTGGCCCAGTGGTTCTTGAGAAGAAAATTTTTAAAAGATGTCACCAAATTTTTTTTACGAATTCTTAATTATGTACTCTTGAAAGAGGGCGCGGCACTTCCTATGAACAAACTTAAATCCCCTTCAGTCAAGGATGCTTTGTGGCATGTTTGATTGAATTTAGCCCAGTATTTCTAGAGAAAAAATCGAAAATGTGAAAATTTTATAGACAACACACGACAGACAGACAGATGGACGCCGCACACTTTTTGATCAAAAAAGCTCACTCGAGCCTTCGTCTCAGGTGAGCTATAAATACGACCCTTTAGATGAAGTGGACAAAATAAGGGAACAACTTTTTTCAAAGATTTCCTAATAAGAAGAGTAGTCTCAAGTTTCATAGAAAACAAAGTTTATAAGTATCGGAAATATACATGTATAATTATGCGTGTAGGGAAGGGTACATGTATGTATTTATTTCCTTACTTCTTAATCAGTACAATACATGTATTTCTAGAATAGTATTTTAAAATTCACTTGGGCATTTTTTTCACAGATTAATTTCAAGCAGAAGTGTGATGTTCTCTACATGAATAACGTACATTTAGTACACAACAACGAGTAAGCTTAACTTGGTTTTTTTTCTCTCTCGAAAGGGTCCCGCCATGGAAGACTGCCCCATATGTCCCCATCTTTCAAAGCTGACACATTTTTACAGAGGAGTCTATCCAAAGGCGCTTCGCAGACTGATGCATCTAGAGATTGTCAATAAATCCGCTGGCAGTTTTGTCGAATTCCTTAACGATAAGAAAGAAACTTTATTTCACCTGAAAGGCAAACAATGCTGCTGTGGTTACAGGCGGAGAAATTCAGTGTTAAAGGAAACCGAGTGGAATAATTTATATACAACTCAGAATAACTCTTGTCCAAACAACTACACCGACTGCTTCCATGTATATAAAGCTCGAGAATGGTTGACGGTAGATCACCTCGATTTTTCTCTTGCTTGTGTTCTTTTGCGCAACATCTGTCCAGGTCAGTACGAGAACACTATCAAGACTGCTCAGAAACATAGAAATGAAGTCATACACTTAGAAAAGTCATCAGTAGGTGGAGAGGAATTCGAATTGCTTTGGAACAAGGCATTAACCTCACTGTCTGATATTGCTGATCTTGTATCCAAAGAGTTTAAAGAACAGATCATTCTGGAAGCTGAGTTAGTATACAAATATAAACCGGAGTTTTCACGATATCTAGGTATGTGGTACTAGTAATGAAATTGAACTACTGGTATATGGTAAAATATAAACAAATCTAGCAAATGAAAAGTCAGAATCCCTTGTAATATTTTAATTTTTTTTTAATAGAAAATACACTTTGTGAGATAGAAGAACACGAAAAAGATGACTCGTTTACGCCTACAAAAGTAACACAGTCCATAATACACTCACTGGATCAGCATGGCATTGTCATAATTGTAGGATACCCAGGCAGCGGGAAATCCTCATTAGGTCTGGAAGTGATCCGACAAATGTACTCCAATGACAAAACTGTGATCAAGCTCAATCATGTTCATGACTGGAGTAAACTTATCAATCCAAAATCCGGTCATGTTGTCTTTATTGACGACTTTCTAGGAGCATCAAGTACCACCCTCGCTGGGATTTTGGAGGTAAAGCCTCTTTTTAGCACAATTTTTGCTTGTGTGAAGAATAGTAACACCAAAGTTGTGTTGACAATTCGGAAATCAATTTACGAAAGATGGCACGACCATTTAGAAGAATCAAGGTTATTTAAATCTGAAAATGTAATTGACCTGGCTGCAGAAGAGAATTGTCTAACTCTAGAAGAAAAGAAAGCTATGTTAAGAAATCATTTCCAGAGCAAAGGAATTAGTGTGATGAGAACAAAAAAAGAGACACAAGAATGTCATGAACCCAGTATTGATCAATTTACAGTAGATGCCATTGCTCATACAAGTGCTTTTTATTTTCCTCTTTTATGTTTCTTATTCACAAAGTCAGAAAAACATCTTCATCTTGGATTGAGGTTCTTTGAGCAACCGAGAAAGACGTTAGTAACAGAAATTGATTCATTTAGGAAATCTACAGAATCAAAGGAAAGATGGAAATATGCTGTTTTGTCATATACCGCAGTCTCAGGAAACGTGATCAACCCTAAAAAATTAAACACGGACTGCATAACTATGATTTCAGAATCTTTAGACTTGACATTACGAAGCAGTAGCGAATTCAAAAGAGTGGTAGCAGACGCAGCCGAGGAATTGAAGAATGATTACCTTAGATTGACTAGTCGAGATACATACGAGTTCATCCACCATACGTTTTTGGAGGCAACAATCCTTTCTTGTGGATTGGTTTTTCCAAAACTGGTGATAGAACAATGTAACAATGATACTTTATTTGAACTGATAAGAACAGAGAGTTATGTTGAGAGAGAAGGAGAGGTTGTCTTAAGGTTAGACTTGGATTGTTTTGAGACACTAGCAAAGCGATTTATTTCAGAAATCACATCTGACAGTAAAATAATTCCCCATGTTTTATTCCATCCTGTCATGGAAGATACAGAGTTTTCTGAGCAGTTTTTCTCTCAGCTTGAGTCATCTATCTTAAATGAGGATTTGTTACCGAGTGATGTCTACCTTATTTTAATAGAAGCATCGAAATGGGGTCATCTAAGAACTGTGAAAGCTTTATTCTCATCCAATATTCCGCGACATGTTGTAGAGGAAGCGGTTAACTACGCAAGTTATAACAATCATGCGAGTATTGTTGAACTTTTAGTCAAAGATTTGAAGCCTGATCCATACTTCCTACAGGCCTGTAGTTTTGGTTGCGATGATGTGGTCAGCTTGTTGCTCGAGAAAGGTTTCGTACAAGAATTGGAATTAGTAAAGGAGGGAATTTTCAGGTCATCTAAAGCTGGTCATTCAAAGATAACCAATGTACTAATCAATGTTTATAAAATCTCTACAGGGGCTTTTGAATTTAAGAAAACAATCATGAAAATTTTATACGACGCAATAGAAGCAGAGAAAACAAATACTGTAATGGACATCATATCTTGTCAGGAACTGTGCATAAATATGGAAGATTTAATTGGTTTAGTTTTGGAGTCATGCTATTCAAATCAATTGGAGTTTGCAAAATACCTTCTCCAGAAATACTGTCATTTGCATATTGATGATGGGACTTTGTTGAGATTATTCAAAGGAAGCAGACGATGTGTAGACTTGGTTTTTGAAATGGAAGATATTTTCTGCTTACAGGATTATTTTGGAGACGAAAATATTAAAATCATCTTATTTTCCGCTAATCAAGGAAGATACATTATTGAAAAGGCATTCGTACACTTTCCACAAAAGGTCGAAAGATCTTTACATTCGTCACCTATTCTGTTGCTTCATTTTTTATGGATCGGTTGTCATTCTGTTGTCTCTCAGGTCCTTCAGGGGAACATTGACCTTCTGCGAAATGTCCAGAAGTTTGAAAAGGTTGCAGAAAAGTATTCCATTGGCGAATTTGCTGCTTTTTGCGGATTTCCAGGTTTTGATTTGTTCGCAACGAATGGGTCTCGTGAGAAGCTTGACTTACTATCTTGCTGTGTTGAAGGATTTCGAGCAGAAGGAAGGCTACCGGATTTAGAGTACCATTTGGGCTATCGTAAAAATGTACCTTTTGACATGATAAAAGAATCCATTAATTATTTTGAGACGGATTCTCGTCAACATGGTTATTTTCTTTGCTTACAGTCTCTGTATGATGAAACCAGTAAACTCAATACAGGTTCTCCAATATTTGCTACTATTATGGAGATCATGCATGACCAATTTGAATCGGAGACACTGTCCTTCTTGAAAAACGAAGTTAGTTCCTTGTCTCTTCATTTACTGACAGTATCAAGCATGAAAATGGAAGTGCTAAAAATGTTTCGTACAATACTTCTTCAACATTTAGACTTTGTGAAACTTGAAGAAATGTGTCCGGTAAATCATTCCATGGAATAAAATAACTGAAAGCAAATACCATCAATATTCCTACATCGGATTTATTAGGTATATCGACGACGACACTGTCCTGTTCCTGGTGGTATTTACTGTATAATTTAAAAAAAAAAAAACTTTGGTATTATGACCCCCTATGCTTGCTAAATCTTTTAAAGGACTCGTAAGTGCCGAGGATATACACGTATTATTTTTGTATTTTTCTATTGTGCAACTTTCTTTTGCCAAAATAAAATATTATGAAATTTTGAAATATGTCAAGGTTACTAATATACATCCTGTTATCACAATGAGTCTGAGTGAATGAAAAAGTTCGTATTTCTAAAGATTTATTTTTGACAAGTAACAGCGTTTTTTTGACTGACATATTTCATGCCTATTGTTGGACCTGTGTTTTTTATACGTAATTCGACTACAGATAATCCTGTCTACCTACTCAATACATAGGACTCACGGCGGGTGTGACCGGTCGACAGGGGATGCTTACTCCTTGTAGACACCTGATCCCACCTTGAATTTCCAGGGGTTCGTGTTTTATGCTCTGTTCACAGATTTGTATTGTTTGTAGGTCTTTTGAGATCGATGGTTGTTCGTTGTCTTCACTTTCTTCATTTAGAAGTTTTAAAAGTGGTTATCTATGCACATACATGTAATAACAATCACACGAGCGTTGCTGCTCTTTTAGCTATTTTCATCAAGCTTTTTAGGATATCTAAAGGATGTCAATACATTCATCTAAAACGTTGGGGGTTTTGCAGGATTTGGAATTGAAAGAATAAGATAAGCGATGTGTTCAAGCTAGCCACTCAAAGATAACTTGAGTTTTCATAACAGTGTGTAAGACTTCTTGCAATGCTTTCGGGGTTAAGAGGACCAATATTAAAAATTAATCGACTTATATTTGTAACTGAAGCTGTGAAAAGTCTCTAAGATAATGAAGCATTCTTAAACTAAAGTCAAAATAAAGTCAAAAATTCAATTTTAAATAAGATGTATATTTATTAGAAACTGATTCTGAAAATTAAAATCAACAGCAATAAAGGAATCAAACTTCAATCACATTCCAAATTTCGTCTAGTTTTTATTTTTAGAAAATTAAGACAATGTACAAATTTTGACTGAAGTCTTAGACTGCTTTATGATCCAGGCCCGTAGCAACAGTTTCAAGAGTGGGATGCCAACTTCCTAGTCTTATACATGTAAGTCCTATTTACAATACGAATAGTAACAGACCAAAACACCAGAGCTAGAAAGAATCAAGTATCTAGGAGGAGTCAGCATCCCCCTTCGACAGGTCTTCCCCGCTTTGAACCCTTGTGGTGTCTTTTATTTGGAGTTCACTCAATATATCAAGTCAACATACATGTATAAGTGAAAGTAATTATTGTAAGACTCCCGAGGACTACATAAATATTGTTAATGCAAACGTTCTTTTTAATATCAACTATTACAAAGTATTTGTATGTAGAATCAAAATGATTTTTGACCGATCAGAGCATATGAAAATTTCCTTTAATTGAAGAAACAATTGTATTTGATATCAAAAAGCCTTGATCTTTTATTTACAAAAGTATCACGAGGAATGATTGCATGAATGATGTGAATCTACTTCTCTCTGTTCTGAAATTTGAAGTCGTTTTCATGGGATTTAGAACGTCTCGCTTAGAACTTTGGAGGGTTGTATAAGTAAAGAAAACTGATAATTTCCTAGAGAGCAGACAATATCTGTTTTGACTTAATCCTTGAAATGTAAGACGTTTTACGCTCAGTGAATTATTGTGATGGTAATAATTTGGGGAAAACCGCTTAACCTCTACTAATGTATTTAATTGTATTATGGAGAAAAAGAGATTCGCATATTTTCCAGTCATTTTAAGGACTTTTTTTCTCTATTGAGTTAGTTCACAGTTGGCTTGCTTGTTATTCCAATGTTTTTCTGCTCCTTTAAGAAAATTTTTAGCTGCTAATGCTTATCCAGAGGTTCGGAGATGTCAGAAACAAATATTTGCCTTACAGACCTTTTCCAAGGTGGTACAGAATATACTTCGTAACATGCATGCTTTAAGTGGATTAAGTCTTTCACAAAAAGGTCACACTCTAACATGTATCTTGTCTTTAATGACGTCAGGCATAAGCTTTACGATTCCTTGCGATCTCCCATCTTTCGGTATTCCTAGCTGTCACCACCCCTCTTTTAATTAGCCATCTTTCTCCCAGGAACGTTGAAACCACCTTTAATAAGTTGTCTGTTCACTCTTTTCTCTCTTTATTATCAGTTTAACTGTTTTGACAAGCAGTATCCCCAAATTCAAGCAGTCTTACCTAGTTTGGACTTCTTTATCCAAATCCGACATTTGTTTGTTCAGTGCTGCATATCGTACATGTAAACGGATTTTATTTACATGCATTTTTTGAACGTCTTTTTACTTATTTTTTCGTCTCCCGATTATGTCGCAGTGGTAAGAGTGTTTGGTCTATAGTCTCGGAGTATAGGGAGTTGATCTTTACGTCGCGGTTCCGAATCCACTGTATTAAGCGAAGACTGGTCCTTCGGATGAGACCATGCAAACCGAGGCCTCATGTTGCAGTAGGTGCTGGCATGAAAACGGTCGTCAGTGCTCAAAGGCCGTAAGTGCCGAGTAAAGGTTAAAGAACTACGCACGCTAACTCTCGATTCCCTCCTACATTTTACACCCATTTAATTCAATACTAATGGCAATTTGGCCGTAAAATCTTTGTTGAATGCAAAGAACAGTTCAATTGTAATTGAGTGATAATTTTAATTCCAGTGTTAAATAGTTAATTACCCCTAATTCCAGCTCTTTAAATAAGGGGGGTAGACGATATTTTTCATTGAAATCGGGCTTTAAAGCATCTCCACATTTTAAAATATTCTTGGATATGACTAAATGTTCCTTAAATCTTTTCTTATGTTTTACTCATATAAAATTAAACATATATTATTAATAAAATACAATGTTTTAGCTGTAAACCCCTTTGAAATTGGTGAAATAATAAGCATTTTTGTAGTTTTTTGTCTGTAAACATATGCCCCCCCCCCCCCCCCCCGCGAAACACAAAAAGCTTTGGTATGAATTTGTGAAATGACAGTCCATATTACCTGTAAAAAGGAATTTTTGTTTCACGGGGGGGAAAGATGTTTTAAAAATATTTTCCGTTGATTTCTATAGTGAAAAGCACAAGTTTTACCAAAATTATAGAGTTATCTCTCTTTGTTTTCCCAAAGAAGTAATGTTTTATGAAAATTCATATAAATATCTATATAGATAAGAAAAATCATTCAAATGTTTTAACTTTTGAAAATTGACTTGGAGGTAGGCGGGAGAACAATGCTATCGTTCGCAGTTCCTAACAGCCCTCAAGTGGCAAGTGATGGATTCTCAATACGAGTGAAAATTCTCGAATCTTACTTTCTTCTCTTTTAGGTATTTTTTTAACTATACAATACCCTAAAGCATAGCTCTAAAAGACGCTAAAGTTGACTGCTTATAACTCGTATCATTATTTACACCTTGCATTATCCGACGGTTGCATCCAAGCTTTTCAATTATAAACAAACTTTACAGTGCCTAGATATTGACCATGGAAAACAAATTCTTGCTAAGTGTTCTTGTTCTTGTTCTTCCTCTCCTATCAACTATAGTCCAAATACTCACACCATTACTTGTTTTGTAATTATGACATGAAAGCAATCTTTTTTTGTTACAAATCAAAAGTTCAGGGGTCTTAAATTAAATGGCAACAGAATTTCATTTCTGTTATGAACTCCGTCGAAGAGTATACCTGAAAACGGGCTATATATGAATGGGAAGACCTCAACATTCTGTCAAAATGGGTAGTTTTAGAAGTATATTTGTTTGTTTGCTTGTTGATTAACATCCCTTCGAGAATTTTTTACTCATATTGAGAGTGGAGGGCTGCATATTTATACCCGAACTCGGCACTTATGGCCTTTGAGCAGTCCAGGGATCTTTTTCGTGCCAGCACCTACTGCGACAGGGGACCTGGGTTAAAACGATCTCATCCGATGGGCCTGTCTCCACGTCGCACGTGGTTTCGAACCCGCGACGTAAGGATAAACTCTTTCCGCTTCCGCGGCGACTAACGCACTAACCTCTGCGACACGCAGGCACGACAGAAAGTACGTATATTTAAGAATTGCTTAAGACATTTTAAGGGGAAAATGCAGTTATCTATCTTTCCGTTTTCAGCAGACCGGAAGTGATAAAGGAACAAGAAAGACTGCATGAAAAATATGTTATGGTTCCAGCTGACCAAGTTTGTAACACTACAGTCATTTAAGTATCATTACACCAACTGTGTTTTAGAAGAACCTGGATTTAATTTCACATCTGGAAATTCAACTTATATTCTCAGTTCTCCTTCATTTGACGAAATTCTTCAAGATTATGCTTCAGTTTAAAATATTTTTTAACATTCAAGTAAATTTGATTTAACGTATGTACACATACACTGCATGGATTCCAAAACTTCAAAAACTCCTAACAAAAAAAGATACATTGCAGGGTCCAGTTAATGTTCAACCAAGCCATTAGATGTACTCACCACTAATAACTTTCCTACAGTAAAGGTAATGCGCTACAGTATATCAATTAAAGAAGCGGTGTTAATCAATTGTTGATTGATGAAAATTTATTAATTTCTGAACATTTACACCAAAAGTGTTTTTCTCTGTTTTATACAACTATTTCTCACGATAAATTAAAGACCAGGATTTTTGAATTCAGAGACAATTGCGCAAAGTTCTTCAATTAAAATGGAACTCGCAAATTTTCATATACTTTAATTTGATTGATCATCTGCAAACACAGATTTGAAGTATGAAAGCCCTAGCACCATCTGTTCAAAAGTTGTGGCCAAGGTTAAAGTTTTTCAAAAGTAGGCCAAACTCTTACGTCAAGTTCAACAGATCAAAGTTGTTGGTATCCAAAGGAAGGCCTTGTCACAAGGATTACATATGTGAAGTATGAAAGCCCAAGTACCAACGTTTAAAAGTAACGGTCAAGGTAAAAGTTTTTCAAAAGTAGGTCAAACTCTTAGGTCAAGGTCAAAGGTTCAAAGTTGTTAGTATCCAAAGGAAGGACTTGTCACAAGAAATACACAAGTAAAGTATGAAAGCCCTAGCACCAACTGTTAAAAAGTTATGGCCAAGGTTAAAGTTTTCCAA